CAAAGATACTATATTATAACTTCAATATGGGAGGTGTTACAACCAAGAGTAGTATTGAAGCAACCAACCTTACTCATCCAACGATTTTAGTCGATGTAACCGGTGCTCACAATTCCATGATAGCTTTAGAAATTACATTTTTGGGGGTTTTGGCATGTTGTTTAATGCTGCACTCAGCAAATTCCAGCTATATGACGGTGGCCTGTAAATAATCGAGTCTGGGCCAGACAATCCAGTGATTGATATCATGAGCATTGATCCACGCAATTGGAATTGATGACATGCATCAGCAAAATCAGCGAGCCTTGGTTGATGCATGTAGATACTGCCCGACTATCATTTACAATTAGTTTGGCTTCTCTTGACCTTAGCAGGGAGCTTGTTCAGAACATAGGTCTTGCAATTGTAAAGAAAATTATGATTGAAATTAGCAATAATGAGGTTTTGAGTATTGACGACAGCAATGTATACTTCTGTTACATGGAACTCTTGGGAACAGCAAAAGAACCGGAAAACTTACAGTTTCAGGGTACTACGAATAAAAAATTCAATGCGACTGAGTGTAGGTTCTGCTAGCGGGGATAATACCATCTTTGCTGATGCATTAGGTAATCGATTCTATACTAAACAACAAAGTTCCTGTCACACCAATATTTTAGTACATTTTTCAAGCAGGTAAAGTTTGGTTTTCAATATTGTAGTACATGTATGGAATCAAGTCACAAAAACGCACCTGCTACAGAAAAGCATGCATTCCATGCAAAAGTTGACTTTAATGCAGGCCCCATGCATTTCACTACCCAAGAATGGATATAAAATCATGAGCGTTAGTGGGATTCCATATGCATTGTTTAGCATCGTGCTGACAACAACCACTCAGAAAAACAACATAATTACGCAATTATTCAACATTACGAAAAGCCACGCCTGTCCGGAAATGAGCGTCTGCGAGCCATTGGTATGCTTGAAGCAGGATCGAGTCAACGTGATGTTGCAAGACAATTTAACGTCCACAGAAACACCATTTGATGTTTATGGCAACGTTGGCAACAGACGAATGCAGTAAGAGACCATCCTCGGAGTGGCAGGCCACGGGTAACCAATAATAAAAAATACACCTGTATTTGAACAACACATCTACGAAATCGATTACAGCCAGCAACAGTGACTGCAAGAAGCATCCCTGGCCATCGACGAATATCTTCACAAACCGTACGTTGCCGCCTCAGATGTCCAGGGATTGTCGCGAGAAGACCCGCCAGACGTCCAATTTTGACAGGAAACCACCGTCAATCACGTCTACGCTGGACGGCCATGCAGAGGGGACAAGTTCTTTTCACTGGCGAGTCTGGTTTTCACCTCAGCCACAGCGATGGACGGATTCGATTGTACTGACGTTGAGGTGAACGTTACGTCAATCATTGTGTCATGGAAGAAGATCGGTTCGGGGGCGGCAGCATTATGGTATGGGGTGGGATTACAGCAAGACAGAGGACCCGTTTGATAGTGGCAGAGGGAAATCTCAATAGACAGCGCTACCGCGACGAGATCATCGTCCCCGTTGTTCTACCGTTTTTGCATCGTCATTACCTTTCAACATGACAACCCCCGGCCTCATATTGCTAGACTTGTTCAGGATTCTCTTCAACAAAACAACGTGAATGTCATCACCTGGCCGGATCGCTCCCCTGATCTCTCAACAATCGAGCACATGTGGGATGAGATGGATCGGCGCCTTCGACATCAACCATGTGTTCCACAGACACTCAAGGAACTTCGAAACATGCTCCAGCAGATATGGACAGCTACCCCACAGGACTTTGTACGACGACTGGTCCATTCCATGAGACGAAGATGTGTTGCTTGAATCGCAACCAGAGGTGGACACACGCTATTGATTTTTAAATTGATATTTTGGCATGTTCATGTTTTTTTATGAAATCACACATTTTCTGAAGTCAGTATGGCAAATTAAACCATTTGAACACTTACAGGAGTCTTTTATCTGTTGCAAACCGAAATTGTTTCAGATTTGGTAAAAAAGATAACTTTGAATTAAATCTTATTCAATGTCACAGGAACTTTTGTTGTTCAGTATATATATTCCGCTTGACTTTGGATTACTAGATAGTCATATGACCTTCTATCAAGCATTCCTAGGTGATAGGTAAGAATACGAACTCACTTTAAATGACTACCACACACGTGGAATATCAATCTAAACATGCCTGTTAGATCATTGAAGGGTATTATAATGTTGTTTGAGGACACTCCTGAACCATTTTCCAGAGATACCAAGGTGTTCTACAACCCCAAGATTACAAAAGTAGAATTGACTATCGAGAGCATGCCTTATCAACTATATTGTCAAGGCATGCAATCATATCAACAGTGGGATGAGATTAAAAAACTCTCTTCTATAAGACTAAGTCCAGAAGTTAACGTGGTCGCAAAAGATCTGGCTCTTGGGGATGTATCGCTGGCTGAATTACCTACCTCGAAGTATGTACTTTGGTTCGACCTGCGAACCACAGATGATGACCAACTACACGGTAGTGGGCGGAAAATAGAAATGCTAGTGAGGGTGTTACTATACAAATGAAGAAGGCCGAAACGCCTGGTAAAATAAACGTATATGTGTACGTGGTTATAGATGTGCAACTTAATATACAAAGTTTTGTGCCAGCAATCTATTATTAATCTTTTACCTAAAGAACAGCACCGCGCTATCATCTGCGGGCAAATGGGGTGTGGAAAAACAGATTTTATTCTAGATATTTTACAAAGTCATTTTTACAATTTCTTCCCCCTTATTTTAATTCTGTGCCCGACTATAAACGTTAATAAAACATACCTATCAAGAGATTGGGTAATAAAGGATTCTGAGTTGCACAAGTTGATCCGGGCGATCGTTTACAAGACTGTTTAAGAGTATGCCACGAAAAATTCAAAGGAGAATCAACACTTTTCATTATAGACGACTGTAGTACGGCTAACGGACTTACCAAAAGGAAAGATATGCTTTCATATTTAGCACCCTCCGGGTGATCTATGAAGCATAATGTTTTGGTACAACTCTGTCCTGAAAGATCTCAGAGAGCAGACAAGATGGATTGCCCTGTTTCATTGCAAGGAGCGATATTCATTTGAGTAAAGCCAACGCGAAAATTATGTTAGTTCTACCAAGATCGAGCAAGATAAAGGCGGAAAACTGCTAGCGGAAACGAAGCACTCGTATTAAAAACTGACCAACAAGCTGCTTATGCAACTGCTTAGCAAATTTTAGCAACTGCTTAGTAAATTTTAGCAACTGCTTAGCAAACTTTAGGAACCAAGAGTGAGTGAGTTGGGTTTAACGCCGTGTTTAACAGTATTCCAGTCATATCACGGCGTGTCAGCTTAATGTTGGAGGAAAGCTCGAAGTGATGCAGGTCTCAGACGTTTACCACTTCGGTGAAACCCACGAGCACGGGAATGGTGCTGACAAACCTAGAAACATAATCGGGGCGAACCGTAATTCGAACCCACAATCATAGGTTTCTGGCGAGCCCAAGGGACGCAACTCTGCACAGCGAATCGCGGCGACTTAGACGACTGTGCCACCCGTGCCCCCTCCCTTTTAGAACTTTTTCTGCGTTTGTTATGTTCTTCATGAAGTGGCATGTTTGCTTATTCCTATTTTCAATTGCCCGATGCTTGTTTGCATTAAAACACATATTCAACTATGCGAACACGCTGCTTCTGGGGTTATATGCGTAACTCTTGAAAATCACATCATGAAGTGGCGAGAGATAAGGACGACGTCGTCTTCGTGCTAATCTCTCGTTTCAGTCAGACAGTGCCTCCTAAACACACCACACGAAGTTTATTGATCATAGATATCCATCTTCACTTCAAATGTAAACCCATGGATGGAACAATTCCCACCCAAGAATGTTATTAAATATTTGAACATGCTTTTGTTGTGCTCAAAACATTTGCTTTGTTGAAAGGTGTCTTCGTGATTTTATCGATTAATCACCTCAAACTCAGTTATCCTAAGGACACACAACCTTAGGGCACACAGACTCGATTATTTACAGACCGCCGTCACATAGCTGGTATATTGTCGAGCGCTGCGTTAAACAACAACAACAAAAACAAACAACAACATAGTGAAACGTCGTGACATTAATGCAAGAATTGGAACCCTGTGGCATCAAAACAGGGATCGCATTGTGTCCGGTTCCAGTTCCCAGGCCCAAATCGTAAATGTTGAATGGTCCTGAAGACCCATGCATGCCCGTCCCTGCACAGATCTAGTTATAACTGTACAAGTAACTCAAACTGTGGCGATAGCATCCGCCACTCGATGTTTGTTTGTTTGTCTGTTTGTTGTTTAACGCCGCACTCAGCAATATTCCAGCCATATCACGGCGGTATGTCAATAATCGAGTCTGAACCAGACAATCCAGTGATTGACATCATGAGCATGGATCTACGCAATTGGGATGCGATGAAATGTTTTATCCTATTAATGCCAAAGCAGAGTGACAACAGGCACAATATTTTAATGTGGTATGACGCGGTCGGGGGTGCCGGAAACCGACCCTCTGCCCTCCGGGAAGACTCTCTTTCCACTAGACCATGGAGGATTCAGACAACAAACAATCACATATTGTATATTTTATGTATATGCCCTTGGGCAGGACATGCTCACCATTCACGCGAACACCAGGTGTCATCACTGATTTTCAGTGATCCATTCATATAATTTTCACAACAATGTTGACTTGTACGCCCAACGGAATCTGTCGAGGGATAATCGAGACTGATTATCCAATGGCGATGACGTTTTATATTTGGTATTCGCCTATTTGATCACAACAAGGAAGTCTAGATATATACAAAATAAAACTTTGAAAATGTAATGCTTATAAGCTGTAACTATCATCTTATATATAGACATACTTATAGAAATACCTGAATATTTGTAAAATATTAGGGAAATGTTTCGTTACCTTACGGTGTGGTCTTGCCAGATGGAGGGCCAACGGTCTGACAGGTGGAACGTTGCCACAGCTGGACACTGTAAAACCATCCACGATACAGTAGGTTGTCAGGCACTATGACGACATTAAAGAATAACTACAATGCAAAATGTTCACGTCTCTATGGCAGGACCGACTGCGATCAATTTGTAGGTGATAATCATACTGTCTTCTGAGGGAAAGCTTTTATTCTCTAGATGGTCGTTTGGGACAGACCATTTCATATTCCGGGTGGGGAAGCGTTGGTTTATTTGTTGTTTAACGCCGCACTCAGCAATTGTCCAGCTATATGACTGCGGTCTGTAAATAATCGAGTGTGGGCCAGACAATCCAGTGATTAACATCATGAGCATCCATCCACGCAATTGGGATTGATGACATACTTCAACCAAGTCAGCGAGCCTGACCACCCGATCCCGGTAGTCGCCTCTTATGATAAGCATAGTCGACTTTTGCGGCAAGCATGGGTTGCTGCGAGATGCGGAGTGTGAGAGGAGGGATGGGGGAGGGGAGTGTTTATCTTCAGGGCTGAAGGAGGTGAGGGACAGACCAGTTGATAATCCGTGATGAGGGGGGTGTAGGGAGTGAGGATTTGGGTGGGTTTGGGTGAGTGTTGATCGCTAAGGCTGAAGGAGTTGAGGGACAGACCACTTGATAAAACGTGATGAGTGTGTGGGATGGGGGTGGTGTGTGTGTGTGTGTGGAGTGAGGGGGGGGGGGGGCTGAGTGTTTACCTTTAGGGCTGAAGTAGGTTTTGGACAGACCAGTTGGTAATCTGTGATGAGGGAGAGGGGGGGGGGGGGGGGGGGGGGGGGGCTGAGTGTTACAGGACATTAGTTTCTAGCCTTGGACATTCATTCCTTGTGACCAGAAGTCATGGGACATTGTCAACTAGGTCAATATGTCCAAGGGCATTGACCTATTTATGTTTATTTGTGATTTGCTTAAGTGACTTGGGCCTGTAAATACCCGAGTCTGGACGGTGGATGTCAGAGCCACCGAGGATGACCTCCTTGCAGAAGGAGAACCACAGAGCCACCGAGGATGACCTCCTTGCAGAAGGAGAACCACAGAGCCACCGAGGATGACCTCCACGCCGTCGGGGACACACAAAACCACCGATGATGACCTCCACGCCGTTGGAGACACTAAGAGCCACCGAGATTACCTCCATGCCACCGAAGACACACAGAGCCACAGAGGATGACCTCCACGCCGTCGGAGACACACAAAACCACCGATGATGACCTCCACGCCGTTGGAGCCACACAGAGCCACCGAGATGACCTCCATGCCACCAGAGACACACAGAGCCACCGAGGATGACCTCCATGCCATCGGAGACACACAAAGCCACCGAGGATGACCTCCACGCCGTTGGAGCCACACAGAGCCACCGAGATGACCTCCATGCCATCGGAGACACACAAAGCCACCGATGGTGACCTCTATGCCGTCGGAGACAGAGCCACCGAGGATGACCTATATGCCACTGGAGAGACACAGAGCCACCGAGGATGACCTCTATGCCGTCGGAGAATGAACTGGACCTCCCGCTCCATCAAGTTGCTAGGGTGGTGGGGTAGCCTGGTAGTTTAAGTGTTAGGTCGTCACGCCGAAGACCCGGGTTCGATTCCCCACATGGGTACAATGTGTGAAGCCCATTTCTGGCGTCCCCTGTCGTAATATTGCTCGAACAGTGCTGAAAGCGGCGAACTCACCATACTCACTCACTCGCTCCATCAAGTTGCCCCTTGCGACTTGCGCGATACGAACGTGTTCACGCAACACTTCATTCTGCAAGGAATTCTGAAGTGTGTATGTAGAACTGTCCTTCATGACACTCATCCATCTCAGAAGAAATTCTACTCTATTGCATGGTTATGGCGTTTATTTGTCACAGCTGTTGCTCTGGGTTGACATAGCAATGCATACTGAATTATTTCCTAATCTGTCTCCTCAGACAATGAAACCAAATCGATTTCTGGTTTTGTCTTGCCGCTCTATCCTCGGTCATAATGTGGTTCATTAAGGGAAGTATAGATGTCTTTCTGAAACCTTAATTTGATAATAGTGCCCATACTTGGGCATATGCACGGTGGCTTGTAACGCAACAATCAGCAGCTACGGGATACAAAAGATACAAAGTGATGTGACGAGTTGAACACAATAAGCTTGGAGACAAACTGTTCATTGATTATACCATCATACAACAATACAGTCGTCTCAAGCCAATACAGTCAGCTATATAATGAAACAAAGATGGAAAACATCGGAATTGTCCTCTGGGAGCTGCGTCTTCGGAAACTGTAAATATCGATCCGAGCTTTTTGCTTTTCCTCTTTGTACCGCGTCCCATCTATTAACGTCTCCTTGTATGACGCGGTTAGAGGATCCATCGACCGACCTTCTCTTTTGGTGCAGAGGCTCTATCCCTATAACTGTCAGTGGTTTAGCACATAGAATCATAGTTGCATATACATTTTTTAATATGGCGAAGTCACAGTGCAAAAAGATAAGTTATATAATGATTCATGTTGATGGCATATACGACAAAACATGCCAGCAAGAATCACTCTATAATCACACAGGAATCACGCTATATCATTATTTCAGCATCGTTCCTTTGGTCACATGAAACTAAGAATTTTGTAAAAAATCTAGCATTCACCCGATACTCTTTCTGTGGCCATGACTTAAATGTCTTTCTGAAGGTGGCTTCAGGAAGACATTTAAGTAATGGCCACAGAAAAAGTATCAAACCAGATATAAATTTGAAATACATTCGATGAGTTGCGACATCTTGTTAGAAAGAAACGGTTCAATATCAACAAAATCCGCATTGACCTATTTTTCAGTATGCGTCCGAAACATCAGGGGTTCCTAAATGGTATTATTCAATTAGAAGAAACGAATTCTGGTACAAACAGAATGTCGACTGTAGGCAGTGGGTGGGTCAGCGCCTCGTGAAGATCCGGGTTAGAGTAGGTCTTCAGGAACCAATGCTTGCCGTAAGAGGCGACTATGCTTGCCGTAGGGACGACTCAAGGGTGGTCAGGCTAGTTGACTTGGTTTAATGCATGTCATGCGTTGGTCGATGCTCATGGCATCAATCACTGGATTGTCTGGTCCGGCTTGATTATTACAGACCGCCGTCATACAGCTGGAATATTGCTGAGTGCGGCGTTAAACAACGAAAGGGAACAGGAAGGATGGGACAGCGGTGGTTAAACCAAGAACAATACAACTGTAGTAAAAGGGTTAATGATGTAGTCAATTTAGGCAATATCCTTCCGAACAAATTTGTTTTCAGTGCCATCCGTAAATATTTTAAACATCAAATCTCCTACATCAACATCCAAATCAAGAAATTAACCTACAAACAATCCATGGGAAGTGCCAGGAATACATTCGATGGCACATCCAGAAAATGTGATTGCTCAAACTCTCGCTTTAGCTGTTCACCTTCTAGACATGTCATTACTGGGGACCTCGTGAAAAGTCGCAAGGTCTCACTTCGACAGTTATTGTACAGTGGCCCCAAAGTACCGCAAACCATGCAGATTCCATCGGGGCTATAATTTCAACTTCATCAGGGATGCTGTTGAAGTGTATGCCAAAACGTGGGCAAAACTAGATAATCATCAATGTTTTTCGGAGTGTATCAAATCCATTAGTAAGATAGTTATTGGAGGGATTCACAAAGTCTGTCCACATTCCCACGAATACATCAAGAACATGTTACACAATTGAGTATTGTCATTGTTGAAACTGACAAAGCGTTAAATAACATCACTTTCAACATATTTGTAAATACTAGCAACATTAAATATTTACAACTGGAACTCAGTTAATCACTGTCATTTGACCCTAAATAACAGTTATGTATAATTATGATGTGAATGTGTGCTTGCAGTTCTGACACACAAAGCAAATCGCGACTTGTAAAAATACGCACTATCAACGCTAAATCCAAGCACTATTTAAAAATAATCACCGTACCGACGACCACAAGCATTTTATGACATTCTTGCATTATTATTCCCTACCTTCAGCAGTCAGATACTCTTATACAAAGCCTGTTGAACGTGAATTAAGATTACAGTTTAGCATAATTTTGAGGGTTTGAAGGTTGATATTGAATATAAGCAGATAGGCACAGAAACATTGTCAAAGTATTGAGGCAAATTAAAGCGAGAAAACTTTTTCAATATTCATAAGAAATAAGAGTCGATTGTACAATTTCGACCATAATCAAGCGTCCATGAATCCCCATTAAATACTGATGATACCAGGTGTTCATGGAAAGATGAGTCCCATCGGTGGCACCAGTCACAAACACATTCAAAGGCAAGTCAACTCTTCACCTGGAAAAAGAACACGGGACCATAGTCAAGATAGGGAAATGCATCGTACATAATTGTTGTCAGTGATGCGTCAACTTTTGAAATAGCCTATACATGTCTCCCATCAAACGGTTTGAAAGCTTTACTGAGGCCTTGAACGTTGCAACCTTGATCAAACAACTTTTGTGAATGAGTGGTATGACGCTCTTTGGAATCTTTGTAGGAAGAGCATGATCGAGTGTACCTCAAAAGTTAGACACCAAGGGCAGGAGATGCCGGAATATTGCTCCACATGAAGGGAAAGTTGACTATTGGTAAGTTGAAGTCAGACCTCTTGTGGTAGAATCTTGCGGAGAGTGTTTTGTCACTCTGAATCATTATGCATAGATGTTGTTGTTGTTGTTTGTTGTTTAACGCCGCTCTCTGCAACAGTCCAGCTCTTAATATGGTATAGACGAGGCGGTCCCACTGCAGATTGTCTCCTTGGTTTCTAGTTCAGGTGGATGAATCAAAGGAAGGGAATTGTCTTTTTGATTTTGATTGAACGATATCAGATCATCAGATATACTTAAAGCTTACGTGAAACGTCTTGGAAAATTGCTTTGTTTTGACTTTGTCAATCCGATCAGATATTCCGATTCTATGGATAATGAAACAAATCAACAGAAAGAGGACAGAATTGGTGCAAATGCCAAAATGTCTTAACCTCAAATTTTACATAGACGTTAACAATGAGAAGTTAACGTCAGATGAGAAAGCATTTGCTTTCATAGCTTGTACTGTCAAGCTTTAGTTGCCTCTTACATATAATTACCTGACGGGTGCCACCGGTAAGACAGGATACACACGCCTTTTCGCGAACGCCTGGTATTATTGCTGTTTGATGGCGATTCATAAACACATCCTCGTGATATAGACGGAATCGTACAATCGACTCTGTTTTTAGCAGATATTTATTGTGGCTATGAAAATAGTCTTGTCGCTTTTATTGACACGCTACGTGTATCACAAAACGCTTCTCGATTAGGGCATAACACCACATATTTCGCATCCTTTACGGTCACATTACACTTTTTCATTTACATATTTTCACGACACCATTTGACCATGTATCGTCATTCTTCAGGCAGTGTTGTTTCTGATCTGTGATTGTGGGTTCGATTTTTTGTCTTGGAAAAACTGACAGAGTCGTATCATATCACTTAGAAGAAAGAAACTGATCGTGATCACGATGAAGGTTATCCCCGAGTAGCCAATGGCCTGTGCTGAGGGTCTGCCGTCCGGCACTGATTCCAGCTTCCTTCTGGTGGATGACAGCTTGGACTTGTCTAACGTCAGGCGAAGGAGTAGGGCGTCCACAATACGCTGTATCTCGGTCATATTTTTTGTTTCAACGCACACCAAACACGGGCAGGTTTCGTTGTTCCCAGAAGAGTCTGAAAATATATGGTATAAGCAAAATTATTCTTTGTCATCACATTTCAGTACGAAGATGAGTGAGTGAGTGAGTTGGGTTTAACGCCGCATTTAACAGTATTCCAGTTATATCGCGGCGTGTCAGCTTAATGTGGGAGGAAAGCCCGAAGACATGCAGGTGTTAGACGTTTATCAATTCGTTGAAACCCACGAGCACGGGTATGGTGCTGACATACTTGGAAACATCATCGGGGCTTGTGTTATGGTATCTGTGAATTTTGTCAATGCTTACAATTTACTTTTGCTTAAACTTTATTTGTCGAAAGCACATGATCTTGGAAAACAGATTATCGTGAAGATAACCAAATGACGAAAGTACAAAAAATTTAACAATAGTAGCCCCACATTATTTTGATTTGTTGCTGGTGATATTTCAACTTGCTTCCCACGAAAGGCGACACGACGGTTGTTGAAGAAATGATAGGTTGTGATGATGCAGTGGATGTAGATGTTACATTTTGTGTAGTGAAGGCTGCGGTACCTGTTGCTGTTGACGTCGACGCCTGAAAGGCAGTCATAGGTGATGCTCCTGCAGGCGTGCTTGCTGGGTTAGTCGTGGTAGTTGCCATAGTGATACTTGCAGTGGTCGGGATATTGTGATTAGTTGCCATGGTGATACTTCCAGTGGCCGTCGTAGTGGGAGTAGTTGTCGTGGTGATGCTTTCAGTGGCTGGTGTAGTTGGAGTAGTTGCCATGGTGATATTTGTAGTTGTTGGTGTAGTTGGATTAGCTGTCATGGTGATATTTGCAGTGGCTGGTGTAGTGGGAGTAGTTGCCATGGTGATATTTGTAGTTGTTGGTGGTGTGGGATTAGTTGCCATAGTGATATTTGCAGTGGCTGGTGTAGTGGGATTAGTTGCCATACTGATATTTGCAATCGTTGCCGATGATGTAGTAGTCTCCGTTATACCAGCCGTTGCGGTGTCGCTGTTAGAAGTAGCTGTTGGTTCAGCAGCAGCTGCCCCATTGTTGGTAGATATAGATGTGGTATTTTCCGGCGATGTATATACTTCAAATATATTTGACGTGCTTGTTGTTATAACTGCAGGTGCGATGGTATTGATAGAAGTAGCTACCCCCGTAGTAGTTGTGGTGGTAGTTGCCGTGGTTGTAGAGGACGTTGTTGTCGTTGGTGTCGAGGTAGTTGCAGGTTGGGTTGTGTATGAGTCGCAGTTGATAATTGGTTTGGTATTAGAGTTGCTGTAGCTTGAGGACGAAGTAACTGCATCGACTGTCGGCAAAAACGAAATTACACAGGAGGGTTAGTGAGTTCAGCTACATGATCACGACGGCGGTGTGTAAATAATCGAGTCTGGACCAGACAATCCAGTGATTGACATCATGAGCATCGATCCACGCAACTGGGATACAATGACATGCTTCAACAAAGTCAGCGAGCCTGACCACCCGATCCCGTTAGTCGCCTCTTACGACAAGCACAGTCGCCTTTTATGGCACGCATGGGGTGCTGAAAACCTATATATTCTACCCCGGATCTTCACGGGTCGTGTAATCTTGGAGCTGTGAAGATTAATCGATCTCTGACAAAACCGACCGACGCTCCAGTAAGTTTAATGGTCGGTCTCTTGGGTGAATATATACTCGCGTGAACGAAGCCAAGCAGACTGACGTGAATGTTGTTTTACGCCAAAGGTTACAATATTCCCGCTGTGTAATGGCAGGCTGTAAGCAAGTTTGAACAAGGCAAATCAGTCTTTTTTGCATTTCTTTAGATGATAGAAGTAACAAAGTGAGCAATCATGTATACACACATGTAAAGCAGACCCGCGTCTTTGCTGTCGCTGCCAGTGACGGTTGTGTACATGCCCATGGGTCCGTGTCGAAATACAGCGTACAGGTGGGATTGTCGTAACTGTACATCCAGCATGCCAGCCTGTTCTGTAGGATGTTACTGCACAAGTCTTCACATTCAGCCACATCCACACCAGGAACGACAGAAGCTTCAGCATGGCCGGGCCCTGTACACGTCCCACTGAAGTCTGTGTATGTACAGGGACCTGGAACCAACAAACGCACAGGACAGAGTCAGATAATTTAAAGGGCTACAACGTGTAAGTGTTAATGTAAAGGGCTTACGACGTGTAAAAGTTAATGTAAAGTGGTTACGACGTAAGTCAGTGTTAATGTAAAGGGTTAAGACGTAAGTCAGTGTTAATGTAAAGGGCTACAACGTGTAAGTGTTAATGTAAAGGGCTTACGACGTGTAAGTGTTAATGTAAAGTGGTTACGACGTAAGTCAGTGTTAATGTAAAGGGTTAAGACGTAAGTCAGTGTTAATGTAAAGTGGTTACGACGTAAGTCAGTGTTAATGTAAAGGGCTTACGACGTGTAAGTGTTAATGTAAAGTGGTTACGACGTAAGTCAGTGTTAATGTAAAGGGTTAAGACGTAAGTCAGTGTTAATGTAAAGGGCTACAACGTGTAAGTGTTAATGTAAAGGGCTACAACGTGTAAGTGTTAATGTAAAGTGTACACGTCCCACTAAAGTCTGTATATGTACAGGGACCTGGAACCAACAAACACACAGGAGTGCGGCGTTAAACAACAAATAAACATACAAATAAACTAGTCGCGTCTTGCTTATATTCCTTCCTACATTTTTGAAGAACTACAAGCGCTTTCCCAATAAACCCAATAAATGTAATGTCTTTTAAATTTGTTTGTTTGTTGTTTAACGCCGCTCTCAGCAATATTCCAGCTATATGACCGCGGTCGGAAGAATAATCGAGTCTGGACCAGACATGATTGACATCATGCGCATCAATCCACGCAATAGGGATACGATGACATATCTGGACCAAGCATAGTCGCCTTTTAAGGCAAGGATTGGTTGCTGAAGAGCTATGCCACCTTATGTCCATTAAAAGTAATGTGGCCTGTGAAAATCCTGGGTAGAATTGGTCTTCAACAACCCATGCTTGCCCTAAAAGGCGACTATGCTTGTCGTGATAGGCGACTAACGGGATCGGGTGGTCAGGCTAGCTGACTTGGTTGATGCATGTCATCGATCCCAATTGCGTGGATCCATGTTCATGATGTCAATCACTGGATTGTCTGGTCAAGATTCGATTATTTACAGATCGCCTTCATATAGCTGGAATATTGCCGAGTGCGGCGTTAAACAACAACGAACCAACTAAAAGTAAAGTGCTTATAAGTGAAGGATAAAAGACGTCCAAAGGTTTTTATGATATTTAAAACCGGCATCAACAGGATAAAGGTTTTAAATATCATAAAAATCCGAAGGAAGTGTTTTATGTAACTTAGTAACCGAAAAGAGAAACTTAAAACAATATTTATCAACAATTTTGTGTTTCAAACATACTTTCCATGAACCTTAGGAAACGGGCGTAAAATATCTGTTGCTGGCGGACGGGACTTGTAAAAGACATCCTTAAAAATATTGTGATTTATCAACGCCTCTGTCGCCTTCTGGTACAATCTAAACGAAACTTGTACAAAAACATCAAGGGAGTTTACAACATCCTGTTTATGAGATTTAATCCGACAGTAGAAGATAGGGTGACGTCACTGAAGGTTTACAATGAAAACTAAAGACATGTTTTACTTACTCTCAATGTTTACACATGATTACTTCAAGTATAATAATGTGTCAAAAGCGGGGATATTGTGTTTTGATTTCTCGGACAACTTCGATTGAAAATTTATGTAGATGTAAGTCTGATGACGTGAGAGCGTGAAAATGTGCGTCTGTGTGCATAACGTATCTGCGTTGCGACGTACATCTTAGACTGTGATGATGTAGAGGAGGGACAACGTGCGTCTGTACCTGCTAAAGTACAGGTTTTATGACGTAAGTGTCTTAAAGTGTAAGACTTGTATCAATGTGAAGAATTAAATAACGCTTGTAAATTGCGATGGTCGTAGGGGTAGTTTCAGTATCCAAGGTCAATGATAATGCACGGTGAGGTGAGGTGAGGTGAAATGTGGTTGAACGTCTCGTCCAAGATTATTGCACTTATATAGCGACGTGCATGTACGTGTATGTGTGTGTGTGTCTGCTTGTACTAGTCCTGACTGATGCCGATTTATAGTGCTAGCTCACTGAGATACCATGCCGCAGTTTAACATGAATACCCCACTCAGACACAGTATACTGACTCCGAGCCGACCAGTCCTTGTTTTAGTCCCTTAATGCCGAGCGCCAGACAGGGTAACAACAAGTACCATCATTTAACGTATTTTGGTATGACGCGGCCGGGGATCGAACCCCGGATCTTCCCCTCGGGGCGGACGCTCTACCACTAGACCACGGAGGCGGTCCGATAATGCACGGTCACAACAATAAGAGTTCGTGAATCCCTAGGTTGTTCCTCACCTGTGTCCTCCTGGCAAAGATACTGATAGCTGCTGCTGTCACACACTTCGTTCTTCCATCTTAATATGTCATTTTCAGCAAATACACACTTTTTGTCCGTAGCCGGCTCTTCCGCCCAGAAGGTGAAGGACGAACCGTCAGTACTCTCACAGTGATCCCAGCGGTGATAAAGTGCGTTGTCCGCGCGGTTCAGCCCAATCCAGAAATGTCCTTGCCTAGGGTCAAAGGTAAACACTGTATTTTAAATTTTAACTTTTAACTCCAGAGTTATATTTCTAACACAGGACACAGAAATAAAAAGATTTAAAAGACCCAAATAAACGCCCTTTTTTACACAGCCGTTATCCTGCCAAACAGAACCGTGTTTGCCTTCAGTACCAGGTATGACCATTGTGGATAGGCAAACATGCATCACATTCTTCGACTACAGTACTATTAAAACGACGTTAAACCCAATTTGTTTAGGAGGTTTATTACCACGTTTGACGCATAAGTGACCAACATGATGTCCGATGCAAATCCTTACTTTAACTTGCATCATTTTTTCACGTGTTTGTTCAGGTGAACATTTGACTTGCCCCTGCATGTGTTTGTGACGGGTGCCACCAATTGGGCAGGATACGTTCAGCTGGTATAATCACTATTTGATAGTGATTCGTAGACATGATACAGTCAAAATCGTACAGAGATTTCCTATGAGTATGAAGAGAGTATTGTCGCTTGTAAGTTTTACTTTGAGAAGCAAAGAATTGCTTTACACGTTACCAACACTAAACTGTAACATTACTTGGTCATTTATTTCAGAAGGAAAGATGATGATAATTACATTGTCTGCATTAATGACAAGTGCATGTTTCCTTAAAAATGTAATTAAATAATCAAGGCATCGTAACCAAAGGTCCTGTGCATGTTTTGGTTTTGGGGTTGGTTTGGTTTGTTGTTTAGCAATATTCCAGCTATATGACGGTGGTCTGTAAATAATCGAGTCTGGACCAGATAGTCCTGTGATAGAAATCATGAGCATCGATCCACGCAATTGGGATCAATGACATGCATCAACCAAGTCAGCGAGCCTGACCAATCGATCCCGTAAGTCGCCTATTACTACAAGCATAGTCGCCTTTTAGGGCAAGCATGGGTTGCTGAAGACCAATTCTACCCTGGATTTTCACAGGCCACTTTACTTTTAAAGGACATAAGGTGGCATAGTTGTTCAGCAACCAATCCTTGCCATAAAAGGCGACTATGCTTGTCGTAAAAGGCGACTAACGGGATCGGGTGGTCAGGCTCGCTGACTTGGACAAGCATAGTCTCCTTTTACAGCAAGCATGGGTTGCTGAAGACCTGTTCTACCCCGGATCTTCACGGGCCTCCTGTGCATGTAGTTCGTCAAAAATGGTTATGGGTAAATTTTGGCATACATGTTATCTGTCCAATGAGCTGTATTTGCATACGCAAGAAGAGCATCCACTGTCTGTTTGTTGTCTATCTGGGCCAGGCGTCGTCCATTGCTCTCGCATATTTTTCTCGCTTCGTTCCATGTCCTACTGTCCTTATAGATGTAGAATGTTTTGCCCCAGAGGCTGTCACACTGGACGCCTGCAACGAGAAGTGAGTGAGTGAGTTGGGTTTAACGCCGCTTTAAACAGTATGTCAGTTATATGACGGCGTGTCAGCTTAATGTGGGATGGAAGCCCGAAGTGATGCAGGTCTCAGACGTTTACAATTTATTGAAACCGACTAGCAAGGGTATTGTGCTGACAAAGCTAGAAACAAAATCAGGGTGAAACAGGATTCGAACCCACTTTCATAGTTTTTATACACCCAAGGGACGCAACCCTGCACAGCGAATTAGACGACTTGGTCACAGGTGACCCTAGTATAATGTGAAGATAAACAAACAAGTATATCTGACACTGTGCGATGATGCAACTGATTTCTACTTGCATCTTGGTGTCTTGAAGCTTTGAAGCAGACACGTATCATATACGTATTATATATTTAAGTGACACGACTGTGTATAGGATATACGATGAACTATTTCTTTGAAAGTTCTATGTTGATCGTTAAGCTGAATTTATTGCACGTGAATATGAAGTTTGCAGGAGTCAGTGTGTTCAAAATATTATTCTGTCACTGTCTGTCTTTCGAGTGGAATGTCTGCAATATCGACTTGTTAAGTGTTGGGCTCCAATGTACTTTAATGCAGGAAGGAAAGTGAATTCATGGTTAGCGCTACGAAGCTGTTTTTAAATGGGAAAGCGGATTAATCAACGAATGCATTTGTCTTTACGCAAGATTAGTTGTTTGGTTGGTTTGTTGTTTAACGCCGCACTCAGCAATATTCCAGCTATATGACGGTGGTCTGTAAATAGTCGAGTCTTGACCAGACAATCCAGTGATTGATATCATGAGCATCGATCCACGCAATTGGGATCGATGACATGCATCAACCAAGTCAGCGAGCCTGACCACCCGATCCCGTTAGTCACCTATTACGACAAGCATAGTCGCCATGGGTTGCTGAAGACCTATTCTACCCCGGAATCTTCACGGGTCCTTTACGCAAGAAGAACCGGGTTCGATTAATCAGGTTTCAAGTTTTAACTCTTTGACAATAAATGGAGTCGTGAAGAAGACACACCTTGTTCGACAGCAGCCGGTAAAAACAGTACCAAAAGTAAACTGGGATCGGACTGTGAGTTCGAGACAACCTTCGATTCGACACATCCGAGATAGAGACAGTGGTGTTTGACTGTAACTGAATGTATTGCTTCAATAGGTTTCGGAGGCTCTACTGGTGATTTTTTGTGTTTGTGATCATTTTGAAATATAGGACTATGTCCAATGTCTATAGATATAAAGGAAAATACCATGAAGCATACATCAAAGAAACACATTGTCTTGTATCCATAACATGAACTTGGAATATACTGATATATGAGGGATCGTGTATCATTAAACTGTGATATTAAAATTCAAGCTACTTACATGAAACAACACCTGCGATGATTAGGACTATTAGTTTCGGCATAATCTGAAAACAAAGCATATGTTGCTCTGAAACGATATTTATACACGAATGAAAATAATGCTTATTTACAAAGGTAAGAATGATACAACATGTTAATATTTATCACTGTGCAATTCACTAAGTTGACATATAAATAATTAATATTGCTATTGCAGGACGGAAGCACCATGCCTAATTCCCGGCTTACCACCATAACATGTTTCTATCTGAAAGCCAAAAGCCGGTGAACGGATACAACATAGTCTTAGACAAATGGCGACTAGTGCACCTAAGCGGTTTCGATATGAACGATAAAAGCAGCCTGAAACAATTTGTGAAATTCAATTGCAAGACTACGGCAGCAGTTCCATCTGTTAAAGCAAGTCGATAGACTGCTGTAATTAAGGAGTGGTGACATCCGAACAAGAAGAAGAAACGCGAAGAATGTTTAAGAACGTGTTGAAAAGCTTCCAATGATGTAAATCAATATCAAAGACATTTCATTACTTGGGTGATTGTGTAAATGTTTAAGATAATATTTTTGTTGTTATGCAGGCACATCGTTGGTTCATGGAGTGAAATAGACGTTTTTATGGTGTTCTTGTTAATGTCTTTCCTTATTTGACCCGACAAGCTGATGGTCATTCGCTGTTCTTGGCTTAGGCTTGATGACGCCTATTGCATCCTATTCCACCAGAAATGCCTGCGAGTCTGGCAACGTTGTTGCGCTGGTACAGAGGCGTCTGAGTTATCCTTGCGGTGTGGACCAGGTATTATCGTGTTTAGATTGAATGTAGCTGGCTGTAAAGGGTACAACCTTGGCCTCTGTAAGTGACATACCATGTGCTGTCAAGCCATTTCCGGATCCAGCAGTTTGAAAGACGACAACGGCTGTTATCTGGTTAAGACAGAAATATACCTATCATGACAATCGGGACATCCGAAGAGTTTCATTCCAGGAAAGGTTCCATCCCCACACTCTCATATGGCCATTAGAATTATCTAGACAAAACTCGACTTTTTCGGATAATAGGAGTGTCCGTCATTGCTGACGTCGCCAAATAAATCAAGCAAGGGTCCACGAAGACATGCCTGATGATTACGTAAATATAAAAGCGACAAAACCCTTTCCAGAAATCTCTGCTAAAATCAGAGTCCATTGAACGATTCTGATATGTTCTCCGTGACCATATGGAACCAAGCTTGCAAATGGTTCGGGTGCCTTTGACTACTGTCGAGGCCTGCCATTACAATGTCGAACAACAAGCCACTAGCGAAACGAGGCGGGGGTAGCCCAGTGGGTAAAATCGTTCGCTCGTCACTCCGAACACCTGGGTTGGATTCACTTTATGAGTAAAATGTGTGAAGCCCATTTCTGGTGTTTCCCGCCGTGATATTGCTGGAATAACTCTAAAAGCGGCGTAAAACCATACTCATTCACTCACTAACTCAGTAGGGAAACATTTCAACGACATAGTTATTCACCTAATCACCTCGCGCAAGAACCTTCCTGTATACTGTTCAACATTTCCACATAAACTGCTGTTCAAACGAAAGTATACCATCTAAACAGTTTTCTACTATTTTGATAACTTAAGAAATCTACATAAATTAAGACTTAATTGTGTCGCACACATATAACCAAATACATTCGGTGTCAAAAGGCAGATTTCTTTGCCCCAACCACTTTTGGCGACGTAGAACGAAATGCACGTGCAAAAGTACTGTATAAAACTTGTGACACGGCACGTTACGAACACACAAACCAAAAGTACCAGGAAAATACGTCACGTTTAACCGCCATTCAGAGGGAGAAAGCCGTTGGAATGACGCAACAAGGAACTACGCGCGCCGCAATTGCAAGAACGTTTCGATGCACCCGAGAAAAATGCACCTGTGTAGACATAACAGGTTGACACGGGCCAGGCTCGTTCAGCGCTGACAAGTGCGAGACGGAGAGCGCGTCATGTCATGTCAATTACACTACTTGTGGCTGCCAAAACTCATCATTAACCAGATTGTCAGAAGGGCTGTGTTCCTGGCAGAAAACCCGTGTACGTGACTAATGTCAGTCAACCTAATGCACCGAGTACAATCGGGAGTCGGACAACTTGGGTACTTGGGATGCAGGCGGGACATTTCGTAAGCAAGGTCCACATATTTGCCATGTTTTTCCTAAATCGTGTCCATCACATTAGTGCCAAATGAGAAAGACGATTCTATGTTTCATTGGATTTATGAAAAAGGACAAGGACGGGTTTGTTGGCGAGGATATGTCCGAGACAGCATATAGGCCCATTCCAAAGAATATTATAATAATCGTTGTCCTTGACGCCCTCTACATATTCTGGGTCGTACCATGGATGGATCTCTAAGTCATAACCGGAAGCATGGCGAAGGATCAAGCCACGAAATCATGATAGTGTTTTTTCTGCCACTAACAATGTTAAATTCATTGCATGATCTATATTTCATATTTACATTTTGGTAGCAGAAAGCCTTCAGTTTTACTTTTCAGGCCAGCAGACTTCGTCCAAGTAGGGTTACTGTTTTTCTCATCACACTTTACATAAACTCGATGCAGAGGTTTTTCAGAGAGCCTTCCCTTGAGAAAATGAGCATGTGCCAATGTAGCACTTCACTTGGTTGACACTCATCTCTGTACCTTTCAGCAGTATAGAACCATCAACATTGACAATGAGATTACGTCCAACATGCTTGGCTCGTTGAAGAAAACTGTGGAATGTTTTGTTTAATCATCAATCGTGACAATCGTCACGACAGAATCATCAGACAACCAAATGTGCGCTCAAGTGCTCTACAAAGTCCTATCAACGTCCTCAACGTCAATCAAACAACGTCCTTCCAATCGGTAATCAAACAACGTCCTCCCAATCGTTAATCAAACAACGTCCTCCCAATCGTCAATCAAACAACGTCCTCCCAATCGTCAATCAAACAACGTCCTCCCAATCTTTAATCAAACAACGTCCTCCCAATCGTCAATGAAACAACGTCCTCCCAATCGTCAATCAAACAACGTCCTCCCAATCGTCAATCAAACAACGTCCTCCCAATCGTCAATCAAACAACGTCCTCCCAATCGTCAATCAAACAACGTCCTCCCAATCGTCAATCAAACAACGTCCTCCCAATCGTCAATCAAACAACGTCCTCCCAATCGTTAATCAAACAACGTCCTCCCAATCGTTAATCAAACAACGTCCTCCCAATCGTTAATCAAACAACGTCCTCCCAATCGTCAATCAAACAACGTCCTCCCAATCGTCAATCAAACAACGTCCTCCCAATCGTTAATCAAACAACGTCCTCCCAATCGTTAATCAAACAACGTCCTCCCAATCGTTAATCAAACAACGTCCTCCCAATCGTTAATCAAACAACGTCCTCCCAATCGTTAATCAAACAACGTCCTCCCAATCGTTAATCAAACAACGTCCTCCCAATCGTCAATCAAACAACGTCCTCCCAATCGTCAATCAAACAACGTCCTCCCAATCGTCAATCAAACAACGTCCTCCCAATCGTTAATCAAACAACGTCCTCCCAATCGTTAATCAAACAA